GAGCAAGGACTCTGTCAAAGAATAAAAGAAAGAAAGGAAAAAGAAGGAAAGGAAAGGAAAGAAAGGAAAGGAAGGAAAGGGAAAGAAGCAGGAAAGGAACAAGGAAAAAGGAAGGAAAGGAACAGGAAAGGAAGACGGAAAAAAAGAAGGAAAGGAAAGAAAGGAAAGGAAAGGAAAGGAAAGGAAGAGAAAGGAACAGGAAAAGGAAAGGAAAAGGAAGGAAAGAAGAAAGGAAGGAAAGGAAAAGGAAAGAAAGAAGGAAGGACAGAAAGAGAAGGAAGGAAAGAGAAGGAAAGGAAAGAAAGGAAAGGAAAGAAGGAAGGAAAGGAAAGAAAAGAAAGAACACAGGAAAGGAAAGAAGGAAAAGGAAAAGGAAAGAAGGAAAGGAAGAGAAAGAGAAGGAAAGGAAAGGGAAAGGCAAGGAAGAGGAAGGGAAGAGGGAAGGAAGAAAGGGCAGAGGGAAAAGGGAAAAGAGAGAGAGAAGGGAGGGAAGAGGAAGGGAAGGGAGAAGGAAAGGAAAGGAAGAAAAAAGGAAGGAAGAAAAGGCAAATTAGAGAATGCAACAAAGAATGCAGGACAGCGCGCGGAGCTGAGAACAGGAAACACAGCAGCCGGCTCTTTCAGCCAGACAGCTCGAAAGCATGTGTGTCCCAGGGGCCTGCATGTGTGGGTCCCACACCCTCAACACGCCTGACAGCAGGCCTGAGCCATCCCCACGGGCCACCCTCTGTGGGACAGAGTAAGGGGCAGGGTAGGGTGTGCAGCATTAGGCGGGCGTCAGGGAAAGGTCCACTCCGGAGGGGAGACGGGAGCCCCCGTTAGAGGCACGGGAAGAGTATGGTAGGTGCTCAGGAGCCTCGGCTGAGCACAGCAGGGTTTCTGCAGGACGGAGGCTGTGGCAGAACAGGGAGCTGCGGGGACCCCCAGTGGGACCTGGCAGGAGCTGTGGCCAGTGTGGGGGGAGGGGCACTCCAGGGAGCTCGGCATCAGCAGAGTCACCAGGCTCCTCACAAGGGTGGGCCTGGGTGCCCCCGGAACGTCCCCCACAGCCCCCACCAGCCTCACGAACTCACGCCCTGGGAACGGGGTACCTGCGTGGAGCACCAGCTGAAGCCCCAGCTCCTGGCCTCTGCAGGGTCAAGAGCCACCGTGGCCCACAGGTCCGGCTCATATCCCTCCACCTTTGGACCCGGGTCAGCCCCACAGCTCAGACAAGGCCACCCCTCCCGGACACTCACCTGTGGGCTTGGCGCCGGCTGCTAGCCTTGAGCCCCAGCAGCTCGGGCAGGGCGTCCCTGAGCGGGTGCAGGTCCCCCACCACCACCGTGGCCCTCCGCCTCCGCTCCTCCCTGTGCTTCTGCTCAGCCAGTTTTATGGCTTCGATTTCTAAGGAAGGAGAAACGACGTTAGAGGCAAGCAAGAGGCGGAGGAGGAGACCAGGCCCAGAGCCCCTGGCCCACGAGAGACCTGGCGGGGTGCCCAGCCCTGCTGCCTCTCTCCTTCCCGCTGTCGCCCCCATTCCGCCCCGGGAACCTGCAGGGTGGGCAGGCCTGAGTTATTTTTTTCCCCTTAATGACAGAGCTGTGCTTTTTAATCACAGGGCTGACAATGAGGTGGAGCTGCAGCCACTGAGGATTTCTCCTGCAAAGAGATGCTGGCAGCCGAGGCCGGAGCACGCCTGGGGGAGCGCACACAGCTACCGAGCAGAGGGGAAAATGAGGAAAGGGGTCCCCAACTTAAGATGGCAAGTCACAGCCTGGGAGGCTCAGCTTTGTTCCCAGGAGGAAGAGGGCTCCCCAGAGGGAAGGGGAGGAGCCCCAGGACAGACCTGAGGGCTTGGGGCCATGGGGCGTGGCAGGCAGGGCTGAGGCCTCCACACTACAGAAGGGATTTGGGCAGGGTCTGGAGAGAAGGGGCATGGCCTTGGGATTTGATTTAATTTAAAAATTTATTTATTTCAAAATTGCTAAGAGAACACATGCTCGGACATGCTGCTCGCTGCACGTGGCTCCTGGAGGCTATGGAGTGCGGACAAAGCCTGCTCTCTTCAGGGCAACCCAGTGGGACAGGCCTGCAGCTCAAACACTGCCAGCTCGTGACACAGGCCCGGGCATGGCAGCACCTGTGCCCCCCGGGAGGAGTGCCCAGGTTTCCAGAGGTGCCAACAGCCAGCTCCTCTCCAATCCCGCTGTCTGGGATGGCAGTGCCCCCTCTCAGCCCCCAGGGCAGGTGACTCACGGAGCAGGGACTGAAGGGCCCACTCTGACCAACCCAAAGTCAGGGATGCCACCCTGCCCTGGGTCCCTGTAGCATGGAGTGTTTACCTGGCTCCAAATCGCTGACAAGAACCTGGGACAAAGACCACCCTTCCTCTGGGTCCTCAGCCCCCAGTGCAGCTTGAGAGCTTGGAAGGTGTACACCAGCTCTCCACAGCCTCGGGAATCATAAACATAAAGTAAGAATCCAGCACTTCTCAACCCTGCCGGGACTGTGGTAGACACGTTACACGGCACCTCATCCAAAAGAGAGCCAGGGCACCCTGGAAAACTGGGGTAGGGAGGGGCGGGCCAGGCCAGGTGGCTCCTTCACAGGCTGCAGACCCAGGCCAGGGAAAGCAAAGCAGATGCGTGTGGCTCTCATGAGAACAGACACAAAGGCCTGCACCTCTGCAAGTCAAAGCCAGACGCCTTTCAAAAGAATGATACTTGTGCCCAAGCAGGGTGAGCCTCAGGCATGCAAGGATGGTTCTCCCGGGAAATGCCTCAGGGTGACCCTCCACAGTGGCCACTCAAGAGGCGAGAAAGCCTATGGTCACCACCACCAGTGTCCAGAGGATTCTGCACAATTCACTGCCCACGAATGAGAAAAATTACAACGAAACCACAAACGGAAGGAAGCTCCTTGACAGAGATGAGCTGCTAGAAACCCACAGTGAATATCGCATTTCAGGGCAAAACATTAGACACTCAATGATAAATCAGAGCAAGGAAAAGACGACCACAGTATCGACAGTCCCACCTGGCCCACTCCATTCTGAGAGGGGAGGGAGGGAGCGAGGCAGTGGCGGGCGGGACCCACGCCCTGGGAACACTCAGCACTGCTCTCATCTGCGGCGCCTGGGGGAGGGGAGGCCCCACACAAACACCAGCTTCCACGCAGCCAGGAGAACCCACGGGAGAGTGCAGTTCTTCTCTGTCAGTTACTCTAGAAAAATCTGATGTTGCCTCAATTAAAATTTCAACAGGATTTTTAGTCAAAACTGTGCAGCTAATTCTAAATTTTATTTTTTAAAAACAATTAAATGCATAAGAATAGTAAAGACATTTTTTAAAAAGAACAAGCAATAAGAAAGTAGGACTATCGGATATTAAAGCAAATGATGCCGCCTAGGAGGACAACCAAGGGTTGGGAAAGTCAACTGGGACATGTGTGTGATTCCAACTACTCACCCTCCCGCCCACGGGACGTGGAGAGCCACTGCCTGCGTGGTTGGGGCACAGGCTGTGTGGTGGAGCATGGAGGCACTACCCAGGCACCGGGCAGGTGTGTGGACAAGACAAAACAAAGCAAGGGACAGAGAGTGACTAGGGGAGGCCTCCAGGAATGGGAGGGCCCTGCAAGGGGGAGGAACAGCAAGGATAGTTTTCGAGCTTGTCCTCACAAAGACAACGGGGGGTGGCACGTGCAGATCTACAGCAAAAATTTCAACATATGTTGGGGAAAAAAAAGCAAATTGAATGAAAAAATCCACACATACAGAAACTATGCATTTCTAAAGATCCTAAGGAATCTACCAAATGACTATCAGACCTAATCATGATATTAGTAAATTCATAGGATACAAGATCAATATTTTAAAAAAAAATTGTGTTTTAATATACTAGCAGACAGCTGACAAAAAACTGCATTTATGATAGCATAAAAAACTATAAAAATACTTAGCAATAAGCTTATTACAAGATGTAAGACCTCTACACTACAACTATGTAACACTGATGATGAAAATTAAACAGAGAGATACACCACGTTCACGAACCTGAAGATCTGCTTTGCTAAGATGGTAATTCTGAACTGATCTATACATTCAATGAAATCCCAATCACAGCCCCACTAGGTTTTTGTTGTTTTTAAAGAAACAGACAAGCTAATAATAATTTATATGGAAATGCCAAGGACCTAGAATATCCAAAGCAACCTTAAGACAGACAAACCAACAGAAAGGACTTGTGTTATCTGACTTCCAGACTAACGCTAAAGCTCTAGTAATCAAGACAGCCTGGTATTTGCTAAGGTGCAACAAACAGATCAGTGGAACAGAAGACAGCCCAGAAACAGATCCACACTCAGGAGACTTCCTGATTTTTCAAAAAGGCACCAGAACAATCCAATAAGGAAAAAAAGTATTTATAACAAATGGTGCTGGAACAACTGAATATCCACATTAGGGGAGAAAAAGGAGCTTAACCACTAACATCACACAGACGAACAATTCAAGACAGGAAAAAAAAAAAAAAAAAAAACCCCTAAATATGAAAGTTCAAAGTATAAAGTTTTAAAAGAGGAATAATATCTTCATGGCTTGGGATTAGCCAAAGTTTTCTCAAATAGGACACACATACACATACATACACACACACAGTAACTAATATAAATTAAACTTCTCAAAATTAAACCCCCGTTTATTAAAAAAAGAAAGTTCTCAAGCCTGTAATCCTAGCACTTAGGGAGGCTGAGGTGGGCAGATCACGAGGTCAGGAGATCGAGACCATCCTGGCTAACACGGTGAAACCCCATCTCTACTAAAAATACAAAAAAAAAAGCCAGGCGTGGTGGTGTGTGCCTGTGGTCCCAGCTATTCAGGAGGCTGAGGCAGGAGATAATCTCTTGAACCGGGGAGGCAGAGGTTGCAGTGAGCTGAGATCGCACCACTGCACTCCAGCCTGGGCAACAGAGCACGACTCTGTCTTAAAAATCTGTGAAAGTGACGTAGGTACTAACAAGCGAGTGGTAGGGGCAGTGGCGCGGCCGCCATCATCCCTCAGACCTTGGCCGTCTGGTGACGGCAGTGAAAATGGCAAATGTCTACCACGGTGGTGAGGCGTGGGGCGCCCGTCTCCTTCCCAGCACCTTTGCCCCGTACCTGGTAGACCACACGTGAAATGGTGTCTCACAAGGTGGATAGGCGTGGCGTGCCCGTCTCCCCTCAGCCAATTGGCCGTCTGGATGAATTATGTGGAAAATGGTGTCCTCAAACGGTGGATGCGTGAAAGTAGGGCAGCCGCCAATACAATCCTCCAGCCTTAGGACGTCAACTGGTGAAACACGTCACGAAATGTGTAAGACTACACAAAGGATGGTGCGTAGGACGCGAGCCGATCCCAATCCCCTCAGCCTTGGACCAAACGATACCC